CTTACACATTAGACTAATGGATACAAGATTTTTCCTACTATCAAGAACATGAAGAACATTGTTCAAAGTAAGCTTCTTTTCGGAAGTAAAGTTGATCTTCACCACACCTCTCTCGGCAACCATCGATGCATTATTGTTCCCCATGAGAACCGTTTGTCCTTCCTTTTCCACTTTGCATGATGAGAACAATTTCTTGAAATTACAAACGTAGATTGTGGTACCGGAATCAAGCCACCTTTCGGAGGATTTAGTTGTAGCCATGTTGGTTTCGGTAATCATGCCAGTTTGCATCTCCGAGACCATAGAGCATATGTCTTCAGATTTTTTTTTCAACAGTATTGGCCTTGTTGGTGTTAACTTCTTCCTTTTTCTTCTTATATCTGAAGTCATTTTGGTGATGACCTTTCTTTCCACAAAAGAAATAATTTTCAAAAAATTTCTTTTAGCCATTACTGGGCTTTTTGAACTTCTTGTCATTATTGACTTTGAAGTTCTTGAAAAACTTACTAGTTTTGACAACCTTAACCTTAGAGGAATCTATAATCTTGCCCTTAGGATCACGAGACTTAGTCTCTTCTTCGATCCTCAAGTGTTTTTGTAATTCCTCCAAATTTGTGTCATCTCTCCTATGAAGGAGTTTCTTTCTATAACCATTCCAACTTTGAGGCAATTTAGCAATAACTGCCCCCACTTGGAATGATTCATAAATTTTAACTCTCAATTCACGAAGTTTAGTAACAATGACTTGCAATTCATGTATTTGATCTAGAACGAACTTGGTATCAACCATAACAAATTCAAAATATTTTAAGATGAGGAATTTGTCCGTACATTCATTCTCAGTTTTGTATTTGTATTCAAGAGCATTCCAAATCTCCATCGGAGACTCCATCGAGTTGTAGAGATCGTAGAGCCTAACGGAGAGAGTGTTGAGAATATGACCCCGGCACATGACTTCATCATCTTCACGCTTCTTCCTTGCAGCCTTCAATTCATCGAAATCATCCTCCTTTGGTTCCGAAAGTGGCTCCAATTTCGGGTCAAGCACGTAGGCGATCTTGGGCAGGGTGAGAAGGAAGAACAACTTTCCCATCCAGCGAGTGAAATTGGTACCATCAAATCGATCAATTTGGACATTCAGATTGAGGAAAGATGTCATGTTCTTTTCAACCTCCATTGCAGCAAGTTAAAACTTAAAGATTGTTAGAGAATTTGAGTGTAGAGGGTGAAAGGAAGGCAGAAAATAAAAGAGGGTTTGAGGCGTATAGGAATACTTTTCTTTAAGGTTTTATTTGCCCTCACTTCTCAAAGTTTACTAATGAGATTTAATGGCAAATTACCCCCAAGATACAACAAACCCATTAACACAACATCTCGCAATAAGATTGAGTTACAACACATTTTTAATTAAGTCTGTAAATTTTCTGGAGAATTAATAAAGATAGAGGTGCTATTTCATGAATGAATGCATCCTTTTTAAACATTACAACCATTCACATAAAGGTACCTTTTGAATGTAAAGGTATCTTTTCATGGATTAATACACCTATTATAATACTTACATCTATTGCTAATTGGTGTACAGATATGTATGAAAACATATCACCAATGGATGTAATGATTCGAGACATTTCAAATCACATAACCTACAAAAACACTATTTTTCTACAGAATTTCCACTGCAGCAGGTGTTTTCCCGTTGCAGCGCGCAAACGAACCTGAGAGGCCTGGCGAAGTTTTTCGCTGCAGCGAAAACATTTTAGCTACAGCGGAAATATTTTGGCTACAACGGTAATATTTCAGCTGCAACTGAAATATTTTGTCTGCAACTGAAATATTGGCCGAACCAAACTGCACAGTTTTGTGCAATTTGTTCATTGCAACTTTTATAAACCCGCTGCAGTGCTTTTAAAGTCCCTTTAACATGAGTTTTCATATTTTAACACACAAACAACTTGTAATCTTGATGAAAACATATTACAATCTTTCTAACCATACTTTTTCTTTTGTTTTCGTTTTTCTATTTAACAAATGGTTTCCTCAAATTCGAACCTACCAAAACCCAACGACAAGAGGGGCAAAATGTTTTTTATATATGACATAGTGCGTCATAGGAATTTTAAATCTTTGTTATTCTTTGCAACACAAAAAAAAAACAAAAAAAAAACAAAAAAACAAAACAAAACAAAACAAAACAAAACAAAGAAAAAAATAATAAAATACCTAATGAAGCACACATGTCATATATATATTTGAAGAAATTCTGATTGGGAAAGGTGTTCTGATAGCATGAGATGTAACTAAGGATTTTATTATTTAATTAATAAATAAGAAATTATGTGCATGTATTGTTATATACTTTATGAATATCGTTGAAAATTCTGTGATTATTTATGTGACCTTAAATATGGAATATAAGTGTTATATACTAGAGGATGATATTTAAGGATAATAATCGAAATAAGCCTATAATGAATTTGTTAAAGTTTGGAATCTTTAATTAAAACACTATTAATACATGTCATTATCATTAAGAATGGAACAAGCTTATCTGCATCATTGATGTGCAGAGATATCGAATGAGTGTATTTTACATAATGAGATTATGTAGGACTGTGACACAGACACAGTATGAATTTTTAGTAATTTTCGTTAAGTATAGAACTTCTAATTGAGTCTATCGACGGTCATATATAGAATGATCTTAATCATGAGTTATTAGCAGACTCCTATTTACGGATTCGTGTCTTTTGACTTACTCGGTATGGATTTTGAGATTATAAATTCTATTCTTTGTATCTTAGAGACATGAAGAAATATGTAGTTGGGAATGCTAATATTATGAGATGGAATCCAATCTTTCTTGAGAAAGAAGTAGATAAATAATTCCCTCAAGAATTGATTCGGTACTTGGATTGTTAGCAGCTTCGATTCATGAATTTGTTTTATTAATCACTAGCCATTAGAAAATCAATGGTACTTAAGGATAAAAAAGTAATTAGAGAGGTTAACAGATTTACATACCTCTAATTATGAATTATTTATGGAGGATCGATCTATATGAAGTGACTATATCAAATGGATGTTTCACAGATGTAATTAATTATCTATAGTATTAAGAATGCAATTCCAAGTTTATAGTGCAATAACTTTTATAATTAGTAGAATTAATTAATTAATTAAAGAGTTTAATTAATTATTAATTTTATTAGAGCTTAATATTATAGGTCCATGAGTCCCCGCGTCGTCATGTTAATCTACGAGACACTAAGGGTAAAATAGTAAATTTAGAATTATGGAATTCTAAATTATATCACTCAGAAATAATTAACTAATTATTAATTATATATTAAATAATGTAATTATTTAATTTAATTTAATTTTAGAAAGCACATTGTGGTGGGACCACGTAAGCCACACACCCAGTGATTGGGTGTAGGAGCGTGTGGCACAGGGAGGAATTCCACTGAGATTTGTTTACTTACTCTCTAAACTATCTAGTTTACTTGTTTGACACAAGTTGTCCAATTGGAATTCAAGTTTAAGGAAAGTTTGATTTTGTTTAGAATTTGAATTTGAGTCAAAATTAGAAACTGGATAAAGGAGAAAATCCTTCTCCTTCCTCATCTGTAATTGGCGCCAACCATAAGGGATTTTACAGGAGAGAGAAAGAGAATTGATCTGAAATTCAAACGGAAAACTATCTCTAATTACTCAGGAAACTTTTTCTTATGTGATAAGATAGATTTTTCATAGATGTCTGAAAGGGACTCTATAAATAGGGAATTGTAAAAAATTAGAGAATACAATTTTTTAGCTCTCTTCCACTAGTGGCCAAATTATAGCAGAGAGAAACAAGAAGAAAAGTTCTTCCATTCTCAATTTCATATCGCACATGTGTGTTGATGTTTATAAAAATTTAATGAGACGAGTGATGTTTTGGTTTCTCATTATTTCTTTCACCATTAACAACATATAAAGCATTGGGATATCAGTCGAAAGACGGCTTCTCAAAGACTCAAATACCCAATTGGCAACTTCCTTTCGAAACACAACAATACATATATAGGAGGTACGAATTAGTCACATATAACTTTTTTTTTATATGTTTGTATAACATCATTCGTATGTGTTTATTACACTCAGTTTGTTTAGTGTAATATTCAATAAAAAAATATAACACATGTAATATTGAGTGTTACACAAACTTAAAAAGTTATTATATATAAAAAACGAATAATGTTACGTGTACATATAAAAAAAGTTACATTTGTTGGACTATATCATCATCGGATTTATGACTTTGCCAATATATATACATATATATAATACATACGGAAAAAAATACATATATTTTGTCTCGTTTTATACTCAAGTGGGAGGGAGGGAGGGAGGGATAGGAGAGGAAATATTAGTGAATGAACTTTTAGAAGATTTCTAGGTAATATATTGTGAGTGAGGAATTCTATTTTTTTCTTTTTTGTTGGGAGGAATTCTATTCTTTTAACTCTAATTTTGATTTGACCCTGCCAAAAAAAAAAATAAATAAATACAATAAGAGAAAGTTTTTCTCATTTCTTTCCATTTTCCTTACCTCTGTATCTACCTCTTCTTCCTTCTTATTTTCTTTTCCTTTTACCAAACACAATCACTTTTTCCTTTTTACCAAAGAGGACTTCATTTAAAATTTAGTTTCTAATATTTTATGAATCCTTTTTGTCTTCAAATTACCCGTTCACCATTTATAATAAAATGATGTACTTCTTGATATTATCGGAACTTTGTGCTTAATCTAGCATGACAGCCGATCATCTTTCAGCTTCTGATTTTATCAAGAAAAATATCCATTAATTTACCCACATTCTTCTCTATGAAAACCAAAATGAAGGGTCAACACATAAGAGAACTTGGTATCTAGCTAGAAATCAATTTCTTCTGTTACAAGTAACTGTTCTTCAGGCAGAGAATTTGTCAATAGTCGTAGCTAATCATCGCCAATAATGCCACCACATATTTCTGCACCAAACATAGAAAGACGCCCCGTGGAATTTGTGCATACAATTTCGGAGGCTGGCCGTTTGCTTCCTTCGGCAAGCAGATGGAACTCAATAGAGCTTGATTTCAGGATCCTCCCTCAGTCTTCCACCGCTTATGATTCGCTCCCCTCCCGCTTCTCCAAATCGTTTGATTATGATCTCGTTATCACCAACAAGAATCACCTGAAACGTTTTGCTTACATTTCAGCCTCAACAGTTCTTGTCATTCTAGCACTCATTTTGCTCCTACATTTTCTGCCTCACAAGCACAAACATCACGGCTCTTCTAAGAATCTAACGCTCGCAGTGAACCAAGCTCTGACTTTCTTTGATGCGCAGAAGTGTAATATCTTCATTCCCCATGAAAGGACATATTTCTTCATTGTGCTGCTCATTGATCAAGATTTTTTATTTTTGTATTCTGCAGCCGGGCATTATCCGAAGAGTAGCCCCGTAAAGTTTCGAGGAAATTCAGGATTGCAGGACGGAAACTATGGTAGTGTAGTGCATGCAGATCTTGTGGGAGGTTTTTATGACTCAGGGAATAACATAAAGCTCAGTTTTCCCACAGCATATACCATTACTATGTTGAGTTGGACAGTGATTGAGTATCACCAAAAATATGCTGAGATAGATGAGCTGAATCATGTCAAGGACATCATCAAATGGGGCACTAATTATTTGCTCAAAGTCTTCATTCCTCCTTCAAATGCAAGTTCAAATACCATATTGTATTCCCAGGCAAGGCCTAGAAGATACCTTAATCTTACTGTTTAGAAGTTAATTACCCTCCACCTTGAATTAATCAACGATTTTTTCTTTTTTACGAGGGAAGAGACTTTTTTCCTACTTTGAAAACGATAATTAGACCCTATATTTTTGTGGAAAAGTGCATTTCTTCAATTTTTTGAAGGACCAAAATATGTTATTATTATGTTCTCTGATGCAATAAGTATATCTCAAAATCAATATAAATTTTCTTCATAATGACATGACATTATGCCATGTACTTCCTGATGCTTATGGATAATCCATTCAGTCAAAAGTATTTACCGGTCAAGGATATTAATTTGATACATACTTGAAATGTCCTTATACATAACTAATGAGGTTCAAAATAGATGGTATACTTCATTAGCACAAAATAGATGGTATACTTTCTGATGCAACTTAAAACAAAGAGTATGTTGTTTATGTACATTTCCTTTTAAAAGCTAACAATAATAGATGATCTGATAGGATCCCGCCTAGACCTCCTATCAAGTTTACCTATTCTAGAACGGGTAAAAAGGGCATAGCAGGTGCGGAGATCAAGACAAGGGAGGGCATAGGGAAATCTGTTAGAGTAGTTGGCTAGGAGGAGAATATAGGGGGGAAAGGAAAGAAGGGGGTATCAAAGTTGTCAAAACGCAGGGTCGGATTGGGGAGGTAGAGGGTCCTCAAAATCCCTCATTCTTTTTTTTCTTTTCTGCCTTTCGTTTAGCCTCCTCCTGAGTTAGAAGGAGAGTCTTGCTGTAATGGTTGCTTAAGAGTGTTTCCTTCAATAAAAGGAACCAGAACCCCTTTTTCTAGTTAATTCAGTCCATTTTTCCTTACATTAAGTTCTGGTTTGACAAAGTTGTTTCAGGTTCCTATCAGCTTGGTATCAGAGCGGATGATCCATGGTGAACTATCCAGTTGAACATCGGTCTGAGAATCGTGAGGACGCCATGGTGTGGCGCTTGGAGCACCTCAATGAGACGGTGCGCCTCCTGGGCGCGATGGTCGATCCGGTACCGAGGTTACAGGAGGATATGACGATCCTCGCGGATCGGTTGGGCCAAGTTCAGGATGCGGTCCATCGCATGGAGGCGCTCCTAGGACAGCACTGCGGGGGGGAGCGTGGCCCTGAACCTCGTGGAGCAGCAAGAGAGAGAGAGCATGGGCGTGAGTTTCGGCCGGAGTCGCCGGTAAGACGGAGGAGAGGGGAACACTGGGCAAAGAAGCTTGAGCTCCCAATTTTCCATGGTGAGGACCCTTATGGATGGTTGTTCAGGGCTGAGAGGTATTTCATGATCAATGATGTCGAAGAGGAGGAGAAGGCGATGGCGGCGTCCGTTTGCTTAGAAGGGCGGGCTTTAGGGTGGTTCTAGTGGGCGGAGACTTAGGACTCGTTTGTTGGTTGGAGGGACTTTCGGGCCGCCCTGCTACATCGCTTCAGCCGAGCTCGAGAAGGAGACCCCACCGAGAGGCTGATGTCGTTGAAACAGGGGGGAACGGTTGCAGAGTATAGGGACTCCTTCGAGACGCTGGCGGCAGCTTTGAAAGGAGTGCCGGAGTCCATTTTTAGGGAGGCCTTCCTCAATGGGCTGAGGGAAGACATACGGGACGAGGTGAAATTGCACAGGCCCATAAATCTACAAGAGGTTATGGATTTAGCCCAGCAGATAGAAGATAGGAATGAGACCCAAGACAAGTTTAGGAAAATGAAAATGGGTCAGGGGTGGCAACAGGAGGGATCGGGACGGGGATATTCATTTACCGACCAGCCCAAGGTTAATGCCTCCCATTCTAAGAGCTTTCTTCAGTCCAGTGCTTCGAGGGATTCTGGAACCTCCCCCCGAGGAAAGTATGAGTCGGCGCTTGCTCAAGCATCGGTGGGCAGCCGTGACCCAATGTTCCGACTTCTCTCAGACGAAGAAATCCATGCACGGAGGGCCAAGGGCCTCTGTTTTCGGTGTGATGAGAAGTTTGGGCCGGGGCATCAATGTAAGAACCGACAATTACAAGTCCTACTGGTGGCTAGAGACGAGTTGGAGACAGAGGACGCGAAGGACGAAGAGGCGGAGCAACTAGTGGGGGTGGTGGACGAGGCGGCGGATTTATCCCACAATTCTCTGTTGGGCTTCACCTCCTCCAATACGATGAAGATCCTGGGGCGGCTGGGTTCACGAGAGGTGATAGTCTTCATTGACAGCTGTCATCGAATAGTTTTTTGTCGACAAAGGTGGTGGACGAGTTGGCCCTGCCTTGTGACGCTACAAGGAGCTACGGAGTGCAAGTGGGGAATGGAATGAAATTTCAGCAGCAGGGGGTGTGCAAGGGGGTGCACTTGTGGGTATAGGGCTTCTGTGTTGTGGAAGATTTTTTCCCCTTCGAGCTCGGAAGCATCGACATGGGTTTGGGGGTAACTTGGCTTCGGCGTTTGGGTGAGGTCCGAGCAGATTGGTCCAAGTATACTTTGAAGTTCCGTGATAGGGCCGATTGGGTTTGTTGGAAGGGGACTCGTCCCTGAGTTGCTCCTAGGTGAGCTTCCGAGCCTTGTCTCGGCAGTTTGCTTCGACGTAATTGGGCTTACTACTCGAGTTAAGTGCTGTCACAGCCGGAGAAGAGGTAGTCCTGGAGCTGCTTCCCCCAGCAGAGTTGGTCGACGTCTTGACCCATTATGAGGAGGTGTTCTCCTCACTAACCAGCCTACCACCCCATCGAGTGGAAGACCACCACATTATGCTGAAGGAGGGGGCCATACCACCGAGCACCTGCCCCTACCGTTATCCCCATGTCCAGAAAGGGGAAATCGAGCGCCTGGTTGCGGAGATGCTTTCGTCTAGCATAATCCGGCTGAGCAGCAGCCCGTATTCTTGTCCAGTTATGTTGGTTAAGAAGCGGGACGGAAGTTGGAGGTTTTGTGTTGACTACCGCACTTTGAACCAAGTCACAATGCCCGACAAATTCCCCATTCCGATCATCGATGAGCTTTTGGATGAATTGCATGGAGCGGCAATGTTTACAAAGCTCGACTTGAAGGCGGGATACCATCAAATCTGGGTCTACGACAGCGATGTGGACAAAACAGCCTTTCATACACACGATGGGCATTACGAGTTTCTCATCATGCCTTTCGGTTTGACAAATGCCCCGGCCACGTTTCAATCCTTGATGAACACCGTGTTCCACCCATACCTGCGTAAGTTCGTTCTCATTTTCTTTGATGATATATTGGTTTATAGTCGTTCTTGGGATGAACACAGGGCTCACCTTACTACCGTCTTAGACATTCTGCAGAAGGAGCGGCTCTTCTCCAATCGGAAAAAGTGTGTCTTCAGGCAGCCACAATTGGAGTACCTCGGGCATGTCACTTCCAAGGAAGGCGTATCGGCTGACCCAACGAAGTTACTCGCTATGCGTACTTCGCCGGAGCCCAAGAATGTCCGAGCAGTCCGAGGATTTCTTGGCCTAACCGGTTACTATCACCGGTTTGTACAGGGGTATGGAGACCTCGCTAGGCCACTAACAGACCTGTTGAAAAATGGCATTTTCACGTGGACGGAGGCAGCCTCTCGCGCCTTTGAGGAGTTGATAGTGGCCATGACCACTCTGCCGGTCTTGGCCATGCCGGATTTCACCAACACCTTCGTGGTGGAGACGGATGCGTCAGGGACCGGTCTTGGAGCTATCCTGTTGCAGGAAGGCCGCCCCATAGCATATTTCAGCAAGGCGTTGTCCCCTACTTCACAGTTGAAGTCCGTATATGAACGAGAGCTCATGGCCGTTGTCCTCGCAGTCCAAAAGTGGCGCCATTATCTTATTGGCCGCCATTTTGTGGTCCGCACGGACCAACAGAGTTTGCATTTCTTACTGGAATAGCGCCTCCTTCCTCCCGAGCATCTCCGCTGGATCTCGAAATTGATGGGATACGAATTTGAAGTCCAATATAAACCAGGTGCTGCTAACCGGGTTGCGGACGCTCTATCACGTCGTGATGAGGCCTTTGCACCAGAATTGATGGCCTTCTCCATGCCCGGGCTTGTTGATTTGGAGAAAGTTCGGCTTGAACAACTCGAGGACACTACCTGTGCCCACCTAGTTTCGCAATTACAGCTACACCAGGAAGTATCACCAAGTACAGCCTACAGAATGGTCTCCTCTATTTTCGTGGCCAAATCTTTTTGCCACGTCACTCCATGTGGATTCCGCTATTGTTACGGGAATTCCACGATTCGGTCATTGGTGGTCACTCGGGATTTTTCTGCACCTATAAGCGAGTGGCTGCGAACATTTTTTGGCAGGTATGAAGAAGGCAATCCATGACTATGTTGCTCACTGTGAGACGTGCCAAAAATCCAAATATGAAGCTCTCTCCCCGGCCAGACTACTGCAGCCCCTACCCATCCCAGATAAAGTTTAGGACAACATTTCGATGGACTTTATTTCGGGGTTGCCGCGGGTTAAGAGTGTTGACACAATTCTAGTAGTCGTGGATCGCCTCTCCAAGTATGCTCACTTCTACCCGATTGCTCATCTCATCATAGCCAAGCATGTGGCCGAGATCTTCATCCGGGAAATTGTGCGCTTACACGGCGTACCTCGCTCCATCATGAGTGATCGCGACCCAGTCTTTATGAGATTATTTTGGCGGGAACTCTTCAAACTGCAGGGCACTCGGCTGCACAACAGTTCCTTGTATCACCCGGAATCCGACGGTCAAACCGAGGTCGTTAACCGCTACCTAGAAACTTACCTTCATTGCTTTGCTTACGACAAAGCAAGATGGTGGGTGCAATTCCTACCTTGGGCAGAATTCTGGTTTAACATGACCTATAACGCGTCGACTGCCCAAACACTGTTTCAAGTCGTGTGTGGACGAAACCCGCCTACCTTGCTCCGTTTCCACGATGTGCCATCGCTTTCGCCTGCCACTCCTTTTGTTGTGGAAGATGTTAACGTTCAACTGCAGCTCCGCAACCAGATGTTGGACTCTCTTAAGCAACACTTGCTCTTGGCTCAAAATCGTATGATACAGTCGGCAAATGCTCGTCGTCAGGAGGTGTTCTTTGCCCCAGGTGATCTTGTGTTACTTAAGCTCCGACCATACCGCTTGGAGTCTCTCGCACAGAAGATGAATGAGAAACTCTCCCCTAGTTTCTATGGGCCTTTTCCGGTTCTGGAGCGCATTGGTCAGGTTGCTTATCGCCTCCCACTTCCAGCTGCTGCTCGTATCCACCTCGTTTTTCATGTTTCCTAGTTGAAAAGGTTCCGCTGGCGCGAGTATAAAAGTCAACCTCTGCCTCCCCAGCTTTCCGAGGACTTGGAGCTGTCAGTGGAACTTGTAGCCGTGTTACAAGCTCGGACCACTCTCCTTGGCGGAGATCCATTAAAGTAGCTGGCTATCGAGGGAGGGGAGGGGGGGTAAGGGCATAGCAGGTGCAGAGATCAAGACAATGGAGGGCAGCGCTGAGGTGGCAAATTCTGTTAGGGAAATCCATTAGAGTAGCTGGCTAGGAGGAGAATATAGGGGGGAAAGGAAAGAAAGGGGTATCGAATTTGTCATAACGCAGGGTCGGATTGGGGAGGTAGAGGGTCCTCGAAATCCCTCATTCTTTTTTTCTTTTCTGCCTTTCGTTTAGCCTCCTCCTGAGTTAGAAGAAAAGTCTTGCTGTAATGGTTGCTTGAGAGTGTTTCCTTCAATAAAAGGAACCAGAACCCCTTTTTCTGGTTAATTCAGTCCATTTTTCCTTGCATTAAGTTCTTGCTTGACGAAGTTGTTTCAGGTTCCTATCATGATCCTTTAAAGAAAAATAAGACAAAATAAGGACTTATTTTTCAGTTTGATGGGGTAGCAAAATGGTTAGGTCATAAGGGGAAAGAAAAAACAAACAAACAAACAAACAACTGACGACTGACTAATTAACAATAATATTTTCTTTCTTTTCTCTCAATTCAGGTTGGAATTGCAGGCAATGAAACGTCTGGTCCAAGTGACATAGACTGCTGGCAAAGACCAGAGGACATGGAATATCCTAGACCCGTTTCATCTTGTGACAGCTCAGTCGCCTCCAATCTAGCAGGGGAAATTGTGGCAGCATTGTCAGCAGCATCATTAGTCTTCGAAGAAGACCACGATTACTCGGGGAAACTAGTAAAAGCAGCAGAGAAGCTATTTGAACTCGCGAGTAAAAAGGATCCTTCTCAGCAAGGAACATACACAAGTATTGAAGAATGTGGAAAAGAAGCAAGAAACTTCTATAACTCATCTGGGTACTTAGATGAGCTGGTTTGGGGAGGAACTTGGTTGTTTTTCGCCACGGGGAATGTTTCTCATCTTGAATATGCCACAACGTTGTTTAGTGTAGCACAGAGTAATGAGACAAGTATTGAAAAAGGGATATTATATTGGAACAACAAGCTTCCTGCTATTGCTGTAATTTTAAATCTTTTTTGACATCTTACTCCAGAAATTTTCATGACATGTAAAATTAGGTGCATGGGTTTTGCGTAATCAGCTTGGCAAATTTTTCAGGTTTTGCTTACACGTCTCCGATTCTTTCATGATCTCGGCTTTCCACACGAATCTGCTATGCAAGAATCTGCTAGCATGATTGACTCCCTAATGTGCTCTTATGTTTATGGTGGAAATTTCGACAAGACAACAGGTACATCTTCATAACTAATCTAGAGAATATATGCAAAATTTTGGGAAGTTTTCCAAAACGACATTCTTAGAAAGTAAAATTAGCAAAATGATCTTACAATTCTACACTGAGAGTGGTCGCTTAGTGTAAACTGTGAAGTCATTTTGTGAACACCCTCTGCAAAATTTCATGTGAATTTTTGTTGTTATTTTCCTACATTCAGCTAACCCTGTTTGGCAAGGACTAATGAAAGACTTGTGTGCAAGTGAAATTCTGAGTCTTTCTTTGCACAATTTGATAATAGTTGGTAGCCAAATATCAAGACTGGTGGTGCATTTGTAGGTGGATTGATCCTGCAAAGGCCTAAAGATGGGGCGCCACTACAATTTGCCGCAACAGCTTCTTTCCTCAGTAAATTGTACAGCGACTATCTCGAAGTCAACTCAGGTCGGGCGGAAGTTGCGGTGACAATAGATTTTCCATACAAATGTTGAGGATTTTCTCCACATCTCAGGCTAGTTTTAAGAACCTGAAAACATTTTTCTATTCTAGTGTTTCATACTGATAATATATTTTTATAGTAGTGAAAAGCTAACCTATTAGCAAATGTCACATTTTGATTTAATGTGAAGAATGTCATTAGTACAAGCAAATATTCCATAACACATAAAACCTCTTATCTATAACAAGGGATTAAACTTTTATTTCTATCATCAGGTGGATTACATTCTAGGAGATAATCCAATGAAGATGAGCTACATGGTGGGATTTGGACGCCAATATCCAACCCAAGTTCACCATAGGAGTGCATCCACTCCTTGGGATGGCAAGTATTACTCTTGTCATGGTGGAGACAAATGGTTGCACTCCAAGGACCCAAACCCGAATATTCTAGTTGGGGCAATGGTAGGTGGACCGGACCGATTTGACAAGTTTGAAGACCAAAGGGGCAAACCAAGATTCACTGAGCCCAGCATTTCAAGCAATGCTGGCTTGGTTGCGGCTCTTATTGCACTTCATGACCCTCCTCCAAGAGATTCTTCAGCCTCTAATTTGGGATTAGACCTTTCTGGCCTCTTTAAAAACATACGATCAATCCCTGGAGCTCCTTGAATATTGCATGACTTGCAATCTGTTTTACATCTTTTTGATATGCAATTTGCAATCTGTTTTCCATCCTTTTGATATGCAATTTGCAATCTGTTTTCCATCCTTTTGATATGCAATTTGCAATCTGTTTTCCATCCTTTTGATATGCAATTTGCAATCTGTTTTCCATCCTTTTGATATGCAATTTGCACTCTGTTTTCCATCTTTTTTATATGCAATTTGCAATCTGTTTTCCATCTTTTTGATATGCAATTTGCGATCTGTTTTCCATCTTTTTGACATGCAATTTGCGATCTGTTTTCCATCTTTTTGATATGCAATTTGCAATCTGTTTTCCATCCTTTTGATATGCAATTTGCAATCTGTTTTCCATCCTTTTGATATGCAATGTGGATCGAATCCGCGCTCTCCCAAACCGACACCACACAGCTCTTTCTTATCCCATATAGTTTTATCTAGTAGTCACTGATCATGCCTTGCAATCTGTTATTATGACTTTCATGTGAAAAATATCGGTTGTGTATAACTAGCATTATTTACCTTTAGTAACGAAGTTTTCTCATGACATTATATATAAAAGCGTAACTATTCAAAACTTGTCAATATATATATAAACATATGCATATATATATATATATATATATATTTTTTTTTTGTTTGTTTAAATAAGCTATGACAATTTGCCTCAAATAATCATGTCAATATTAAAATTTAATAGTGTATTTTGTAGTGGGGTTGAGCTCGTTTAGTTCATTAATTTGAGTTTTTAATTCGAGTTTTTAATTTGAGTTGAGATGTGATTTTATGCGAGAATTTTTTAGTGTAGCAAAAAAGTTAGACGCAATTATTTTTTAAAGCTTTTACTGTAACAAAACTCGAATTCTAAACTCAAATCGATAAAATAAACGAGACTTTAAAATAAACAAGACTCTAAACTCAAATCGAATTCTAAACTCAAAACTCAAATTCCATACCACCTTTTAAGGGTGCGTTCTTTTCAATAGTTTGAAATTCAAGATTGGAGTTAAAAAAGTGAGTTTAATTGGAATTGAGTTTGAAATTTGAGTTGTGTGTTCACTTGAATAGTTTGTGAATGTTAAACTTGAGTTTTGTGTTCACTTTTGAAAAAAACATAACTCCAATTTTAGCAAGTATTGACATGGATTTTTTTAAAGAGAAACCATAAACACATACATTCATAGATAATAATAAAAACGTCCATAAATTTAGCATTACAAACTCATATTAATAAGGTCGTTGAAATTGCGAAACAAATATATGTAACTACCGATTGCGATATGCTTCTAATTAATGCCCCCCACATGCTAGCAGCCATCTCGTCCTTCAAAATATTCATTTCTCTACGATTTGCGGAGTTGTGATTTTGTTCCGTTGCCCGATCAGGATTGTGATTCTGATTAACATCTTGATCCGCATTCTCTGGATCAATATCAACAACTGGTACTCCGTCTCGTGTGTACTGGTTTAGTAGCTCATCGTTATGGTTGTACATATATATGAAATTGTGAAGCACGGCACAAGCAACAGGAATTTGTATCTGTTTCTCTATTGGGTAATTATTTATGCACTTTAGTATGCGGAACCGTGCTTTCCAAACACCGAAAGTGCGCTCAATAGAATTTCTTAGGGACGAATGCGTATAATTAAACAACTCACGCTGAGTTCGAGGACGGCCACGTCTTGCCCTATACTCTTGAAGGTGATATGTGCTCCCCCGGTACGGCGCTAAGAAACAATTGGTATTCGCATAGGTAGAGTCTACAAGGTAGTATTTCCCTATATTAATTTTTACAAATCAATAATTAAGTACGGACAACCAACCGACAATATTGCTTCTATATCGAATGTATAGCAAGGATTATTGTTCACATACCTGGCGGTGGATTTGGGAAATTTTTATCTCTTGTACTTGTTGCATCCACAAGAATGCGCACATCATGGGCAGAGCCCTCCCATCCAGCTAAGATGTAAGTAAACTTCAGGTCAAATGTACATACCCCTAACACATTTTGGGAGTAAAAACCCTTCCTATTCCGCCATACTTCGGGGTTACCAGGTGGTGGAACACAAGGGACGTGAGTCCCATCAAGAGCTCCAACGCAATTCTGTAACCAATTAACAACAACTATTATCAATTACGTCAAGTAATTCGATAAGATTATGACTCATTCATATTGAGATACCTGAAACCATGGCAAATACTTGCTTCCATGCGCCACAATGACTGGATCAATAATGTTATAATTTGGGGGTATTATGAAATCATGGCGCAGGTTAAATATTGCATCCAATACTACCTTGAAGTATTTGGAAATGGTGGATCCAAAATGCTGCCATTGGTCATGTGATTCCCTATTGCTTTGGCTTTGGGAGACAATATATAGGAAGATAAAAAGCTGTTCGTCCACTTTCATATTCCTAGTGGGTCTTAATAGTCCTCTACCTTCTAGTAGTGAACTAAGACACTTAAAATAGTCACTGCCCACCCTAATCTTATTCCGAATTATGTCATCGTGGCCATCAAGCAAGTAATCAACACGTACAATACCTGTCAACGCAGAGGTGTGCTTAGGTCGAGGTGGGGGTCTCTCCATGTATGCGTGGTAATACCAGAGGACAGCTGCGACGGCAGCTGCCTCATATTCATCATCCGAGTCGTCGCTCACTGTGCTGTTAGGCGACGCATTCGAATGCCCTCCATTCCACATTGTGACTTGTTTGCCAAATATATTATAATATAGGTCACCTGCACAACATAGTTAAGGTTGAAATTGTGCAATAACATTATGGCAAAGTATTTAAAAAGTCACTACCTGGGAGGTGCCCATTTCATAAGAAGTAAAGTTTTTAATACAAATTGCACCATGTGATCAGAACATAAATTGAAAGAAACAGCAAATCCAGCAACAGTTCCGAAGTACAACACAACTCAATAAAAATGAATACAACATAATCCTTAAAAAGCCTCATAATTAAGAACAACGACCATCACTATCTAAGCCTCATAATTAAAAAGCCTCATAAATAGATACTCCTCATTGCTTTCTCCACCAAAATGACCGGCGTTAGGGGGAAAACTAGGCATGTAATAGGGTGGTTGATATTGAAAGTTAGGGGGATGGGGAGTAACATTTGGGGTCATGTTTTGGGTTCATGGGTGTTGGGGCTGCACGTGGTGAGGGGGTTGAGAAAAACTGGGTACTTGTGGTTGGCCAAAGTTAGGAGGTTGTTGGCCATAGATAGGGGGTTGTTGGTAAAAGTTGGGTGTGGCCATGAAGTTTTGATACGGGGCTGCATGAAGTTGGAGGCCATGGATGGAGGGGGCATGGAGCATGGCTGGGTAGTTTGATTTGTTTTAGAGGTAATGGTCTTCGTCACGAAACATACCCTTTGCGTCTCTGTCATATCCACAAAAAAGTTATTGCATGTGCGGATACCACGCAATGGCCTCTAAAAAAGTTACACTAGAATCATCATCAAGATCCATTCCCTTCACAAGCTCTTGGCACTTCTGCAGAAGAGAAAGGGTCGTATGGCTCTGAGTAGCACTGGAACTGGTAGCTTTGCTACTATGCCTAGTTTCTATAGATGCCACAAGTCATCCAAGTAGTGCCTTAGCCTCTGGATCACCAACCGGACGTTTGTAACTGCGTGCAGATTTCTTTCCAATCCCCTTGGAGCTGGACGCAACATTCAAGCCCTTCCTGGCAGTGTTCAACCCGGCTCGCATCGTAGTGACAAAATCATCGTGGTAGGGTTTTCCAAACCCCTCGCACGAGCCCTATTTGCCTGGGTATTGCCAAAGGCCTCGCAGTATAGGTCAAAGTTTTTTAGGGGCTGCTTCTTTGCAGTATTGGCCCACTTCTTGTTCTGTGTGACAAAGCATAACGACATAAGTAAGGTTATGTTTAACACATGTCTTAAATTATGCTAAATACTGAAAAAATTGAAATTGAACCATAACACTTTACCTTAGCAAAATCATCCCAATACTCGTCAGTACATGTCATAGCGCCTGTTACAGGATCCCAACCAAGGCATGTGCTTGTGCGTAGTATAACCTCCTTATCAAACTTGCCTTTTAGACGCACTCTCATCTGTTGAACCTTGGTCGCCGTAACTGGGTCCGTAAAATGTTTTTGTAGTTCAGTAGCCCAATCTTCCTAATTTTTTTGGGTTGGTTTTCTACCGTGGTAATTACGGTTATACTCTGTGAGGCGGTGCAACAACTCCTCCTTCTGCTTTTGATTCCAATGAAGAGTCGTTTCCTCATCCTTTCCCCCTCTCGGCATCTACAATTGCAGCTATCAGCTGAATTGTGACATTCTTTTAAATAGCCAGTGTTACAACTTAGGCACATGCTCTCTTGTACTATGATCTTCCTATTTAGTTATTTGTTCGTCTTCAAATGTACTATGTGATCCGAGTCAAGAATGTGAATCTGCCTAGTCTATTCTAGGCACTAACATGAATACTTAAGTTACCAACGCTTACTTCAACCTGATGTAAAAACAGAGGTTCTAAAAACGACAGCAAGACATAAGGGGAGGGGGTCCAAAACGACAGCAAGAAAATGATAATCCCTTACTCAGTCAAGTGTATGTTAGGAGGAATAAACGGGTCTAGACTGGAAAAGTTTGTCTTTAGAAGTACGGTAGTAGTGCCTTAATTAGAAGTATTAGTATTACTTAGCTTACGGGGGAAGTTTGTTTGTTAGAGGGAAATTGTATAGAAGGGGGAAGAGGAGGGAAAGCGGTTATCGGGAAATTAACAGAAAGTTGAACAAGTATTGGAACAATTCCAAGCAAGGGAGGAAGGAGACCCTCCAAGATCTGCCAATCAGTGTATAACGATTGTTGTCAATATAATCCTTCTTTGATTCTTTCTTTCATTCTTACGATCCTACTATTAGTTCTCTATAGTTTTGTTTTCAAACAATCCATACCTTATCAGCAAACAGGTCAAAAAGATACTTCTGTACGACATTAGGGATTAATCTGGAAACAAGTCCTGCCCTACCCTACTCCATGCCGTTTGAGCTACTGGTCATGCCAATTATGAATGACAAGACGAAAATAAAAGCAAACCCATTCAAAAATATAAGCAAATAAAAATAAATATAACCTAAAAGTGGAAAAAAAAAAAAAAAAACCAAACGAGAACTTGATTTAAAATGTGCATGAACATCAATTTTTCTTTGCTTTGAACTTCTGACACCAATGTCCTAATTTGCTAACATATTCTCTTTCTAGGTTTGCAGACTTTAACTGCTGTGGAGCCGAGCGGCTAGTGTGGCTGAACTTACTTGTATCAATTTCACTCTTTGGTTTTGCTTGTTTTCTCTTAACATCATTGCATACGCCATCATGAAAGGAACATATACTGTTTTCTAATGGGGTTAGACAGAAAATACAACAATGAAAGTTACTGCAGTCTTATCTCTTTTTGCTTTTTTAAAGAATGTTTTCAAGCACTTCCTAGTGAAAAGCTTCATTAATCTTACTTTATCTAACAAATTTGTTTCTTTCTTCCAAAAATTTTATAGTGGTCGGTGGAGATTAATGGAGAAAACAAGGATAAGATAAGGCTACTAAATTCAGGTGGGTATTTTTTTATTATTGTTGTTTAATTTTCCGAAAACATTTATCTTTCCATAACAAATCTGTTTTTCCACCGTAGTTTTTTTTTCCTATATTTACTTCTAATAACTGTGATCTAAGTGGAAGCTTAAAATGCAAGCATCCTATTACGTCTTCAATTCACACAATATTAGATGTTAGGAAGACAACAGACTTAAGCTTCTTATCTTCTTCAAAGAAAATAATAAAAATGACCACTAATATTTAGGACCTATGTATACACAATAATGACCTACTCTCTGATACACAACAACAACCGCCACCCAAATAGAACATTATACACACATACACATACACAAAAAATTAAATTATAAAATATCTAAAACAAAACAAAATTAATGAACATGAACATGAAAGGTGCAGCCAAATGAGTTATTGAAATCTTAAGATACAAATGTATGTATGTACTTATCAGCTGTCGTCAAATGTTTTTTATATGATTGGTTTGAAAATACCAAACTTCTTTTAGCACCTCATCTCATGATAAGGCCATGAACCTTATGGCTACACAAACATGTGGTACGCATTTTATTGAAGAACTTTCACATTGTAAGGGCAAAAAGCTTGCATACGTACTCAAGTCAAAGACACACACACACATATCATGGAGATATCTATCTTTGACAAAGACACACACACAAATTTCAGTCTCCAAAAGGACAAAGAGCACAAGTTCATACATGTCTAACTGAGAATTTCCACAACCGAACGTTGGAGAATAAAAGTTTAATGAAAGATGTTGGAAATAACCATATCAAAATCACTCAAAAATCTTATGTAGAAAGCACGACATAGAGGCAAGAAATCCAGAGAGTCAAAAAAACACTTTCATCGTACTTGTCAACACAACCAATATCGAAAGCCCTTTTATCTCTCCAACACACCTAATGGTTGATTCCACAACTAAACTAGCTTCAAACCATGTTTTATCTCATAATCTATTCTGATTGTCCTATATGAAAATTCATAGTAATAAGTGGGAGAGTGTTTACCGTGTTTGATCCTGTAGATGAGAGCGGATGCTCTGCTTCGATTACCCCCAAACGCGAGTGCGACAGAGCCGTTAAAGAAGTTCTCCGACGGCAACGATAACGGAAACAATGGCACCGGGGACTACAGCTACGCACTCAAAAATGACGTGCCACTCTACATCGACTCAATATTACGGCCAATTGAAGATGCCGCTTCACTCTCTTCTTTCCAATTGTCTCCGTTTTGAAAATTGAAGAAGACAGGGAACACGAAGGAATGGATCTAGGGTTTGCTATTTGTTATAGAATCAGGAAAGGGGTGGTCTTTTGAGGGATTTATGGCTGAACGAAGAGAGAAAATCTCAAGCACCCTCGATTGGCACAAACCCAGCGAGTCAAAACTGGCATCTGCAACTGCTGGATTCTCACCTTTCTCAGAGATTCCGAATGTAGCAGATGGGAGATGGTGAGAGAAGAGAAGCAAATTTTCCTAGCCAAGCAGTAATGAGCTCTGGAAACGAAGGATGGGCCTCTCGTAAGCCAAGCAGTAACCAGCACAAAGGAGGAATCATACTGTACGTGCATGTGAAAAGCCTGGTATGTAGAGAATATGAACTGTAATAGTCAGATTCGAGTTATTAAAATTCGAGGAGGTAACTGATGTTTCATAACTCCAACTCTAACTCGAGTATTGATTTTGAGTTTGGATTACCGAATAGTTAACTAGACTCAAAACTCAAATTAAATTAGGTTAACTCAAATTTAATAACCCAAACGAACGCACCTTAAATAAACACTCTATATCTAAAACTCACTACTAAAGAAAAACCCATTTTTTGGGGGGAGCGGAAAAGTTTCGTCAGTTTCTCTCCCCCCGCAATTCATAAAAAAAACTTTTTATTCTAGTGGAGAATATGATTTGGTGTGCTCAGTTTCACTGTGATCGCCACATGTTAGTGTATTAGCGAGATTAGTTAGGAGAATCTGCTCGGACCGCTCATAGAGCGTGAGCAAATTGCTCACCACGTGTCAGTCTACAAATAGGCAAAGAAAAGCAAAACTGTGGAACGCGTCGCACTGAAAGACACGTGGAAAGAAGGTGGCCGGCGGCGCTGACACATGGCACACGTTCGTTGGCTGAAGCGAGTTAGTGGTAGGCCTCACCTGACGCGGACACCTCCCGCGTCTGCACCTTCAGCGCGCCACTGTGGGGGCGTGCACCGCACATGTTAATCTGAACCGTACATTGTTTTGATCCAACGGCCACTAAAAAGTCCAGTTTTATTTTTTAATTATTTTAATTTATTATATTTGTTTATAAATTTTGAGCTTATTTATGGTCCAATTTTATCCATTTCATCACTATTTCACCCAAATTTCTAAAAAAATCAATCCAACTTTATAAAAAAATGAAACAGAAAATAAAAAAAATAATTAGCCATTATAAAAAAAAGTCAGCAAAAAATATCAACATGAAATGAAAAAAAGACAAAATAATTATTCAAAAAAAGATCAAAATAAAAATCGTCATAGTAAAGAATATTCAACATTATATCCATACAACTTTTTAAAATAGTCATTTAACTAATAGAAAAGGTGAAAATTATAGTTTTTTTTATAAATTTTAAAATAATAATAGTTTATAATTTAGGATATAAGGTGTGGGGTGTGTGGAGAGAGATAAAAATAGAATAATTAGTTTTTTTGAATTAAATCTAATTACATAATTAAATATGTCATAATTGTCTTTTTTTTTTGTTATTGTATGTGAGAGTCTTTTTATCTCAGAAAATTTAAAATAAATAGAATGTGTAGAGTAAAACGAGGTGTGTGAATATAACCACCTTAAAAAAACTTGGCATTTTATTTTTGTTAATAGGCATTAACGATGTCAAACTTCAAAATCAAATTATCAACAGTAACTATATCAAATTAGATTACTAATAATTTTGAACTCTTGTTTCGGTTTTTCTTTTGGCTCTATATTTCTTGCCTCTCAAATTTTTTCCACATATGTCAAGCGTGGTTCCTACTGGGGCCTACTATTCGTGTTAAATAGATTGTGTTATGTCAACTCATTTATAATAGCAAAACAACATCAAAGCTGAATTAGTGGTGGAATTTTGGGCCGGCGGGCAGGCCCGTTGCCCAACATTTTCGGGCTTGGCGGGTAGGCCCAAATGCCGGCCCGTCCAAAGTGGTAAATTTGGGCTCGGGCTTGGGCAGTCTGAATTTGAGCAGCACGCCGGAGCCCGCCGCCGTGTAGTCGCCGTCAACTGCCGTCCGCCGGAATTTTTTTTGAATTTTTTCGGCCAAGCCCGATTTGCCCAAATGCCCGAACCGCTTGACTACCCGAATTACCTGAAAAATGTCAAAATTCTGACCGTTGGTGCCAGACCCGAAAATAAGCCTGAAAATCCAAATTTTACCCGAATGCCCGACATGTCCGAGCTGCCCAAATGCCTGAAAACCCGTCCAACGGCTAGTTTTTTTACCGTTATCGCCTGAACCTGACTTGCCGATTTCTAAAGTTGCCCGTTGCACCCTGAATTTTTTGAAAAAAAATCAATTTTTTAACCCAAAAATTTCCCTATAAATACCCCTCATCCCCCACACATTTTTGTCACTCAAACTCTCTCAATCCCTCTCAATTTCATTCAATCTCTCTCAATTTCTCTCAATCTCTCAAATCTCTATAACAATTTTTCCAAAAACTATCACATTATCCTAAAGCTCTCTCTCTCATATTGCTCTTATTTTTTTATAATGGATACTTTTGGTTACAGTGGTATTCCCGTTGACGCCCAACACAACGTGGAAGAAGGACAATTTCTCACTAATGAATTTGTTACGCAGGAATCTACTAATACGAGCCCTAATGGACGTACTAGAGGTCGTGGTCACAATGGTGGTGGGCATGGAGAAGCAACAAGTGCCAGTGCGACTGTGTCTACAAGTGTTGCAACCTCTAGGAGGAAATACAAGCGCACCTCGACAGTTTGGGATCACTTCGACATAATTGAGGAGATCAACAATGAAGGTAACACTAAACATATAGCTCAATGTAAATATTGTTTATCTAAATTATAAGGTGACACTATTCACGCCACCACACACTTGAGAAGACACTCCGAAAAGTGTCTTCAAAAGCTTAGCCAATCTGGTGGATCCGAACTTCGCCAAACACAATTATCTTTTGATCGCGTAACTGGTGGTCTAACCACTTAGAAATACAATCTGCAAGTAGATCGTATGAAAGTTGCACAAATGATAGCTACTTTAGATCAACCACTTAGTTTTGTAGAGCATCCTAATTGGCAATGATATATTAAGGTTGTATATAATCCTAATGTACAGTTCACTTCAAAAACTACTCTTAGTAAAGATTTATTAAAATTATTTAAAAAAGAAAAAGAAGCATTAATAAACCTTTTACACTCAACTAGCGGGTGCGTTGCGTTAACGGCAGATATTTGGTCTACCGTTGTCAATAAAGATTATTTAGCTGTAACCAGACATTACTTTAAAGGATTTGATTTAGATAAGAGAATATTAGGTTTTAAATGTGTTCTAGGATCACATAGCGCGGATTTAATATATAATACAATTTTAAATGTAATTGATGAATTTAGATTAAGAGATAAAGTAATGGCTATAACATTAGATAATGCTAGTGCCAATATAAAAGCAATTGAGTTCTTTGAAAATGACTTAAGTTTATTCGGTGACGGCACTATTTTCCACCAATGTTGTGCATGTCACGTAATTAATTTAATTGTTAAATCCGGTTTAAAAGAAATGGGTAATCACATTAAAAGAATTAGAGATAGTCTTGCATGGATTCAAGGTAGTAACTAAAGACAAGAAGATTGGTTTAGGTTCTTACAAACATTAAATATACCTCCTAGAACATTAGCATTAGATATGCCTATAAGATGGAACTCAATTTACATAATGTTTCAGCAATGCATCCCCTATAAGGATGCCATAACAAACTATATGTCTGCAAAAATAGGAGTATGACATATAGACGCATATGATTGGTAAATTGCTGAAGTTTTGTATCAATTTTTATGTAGGTTTCATGAAGTGACTCTAAAACTTAGTGGAACATATTACCCAACATCACCTTTAGCTTTAGGAGAACTTTTACGAATTAGTATTTTATTTAGCGAATATAGGGAGGACCCAATCTTAGCAATTTCTATCCATTCTATGGAAAAAAAAATTGATAAAATATTAGTTTAAGTTGCCTTTGTTATATGGTTTAGGTACTATTTTTGATCCTAGATTAAAATTAGAAGGTTTAGAAAGTGGTTTAGAAAATTTAGGTGAATTTGTAGGCATCAATTGTTCGGACCAATATCCAATAATAAAGGAAAAAAAATATTCGATCTATAGTAAATATGAGATTAGGTTTATAGTACCTCCTAGAGTACAGGAACCGCAACAACAAGACGAAAACCTGCATTCATTCTTGAATATTTTTGGGTTAAAGAAGAAGAAGAAGACAACTCAAACAGAAGCTGGGAGTGAATCTTCGTCAACAAGTGGTAGTGGCAGTAGCGGCGGCAACTTCAACGAGCTTATGGTATACCTCAGTAAAGGCTTAGTAGTCAACGGTATGGCAGAATCGTTTGACTTAGCTCAATGGTGGAGGGCACGGGCATTAACTTGGCCAATCCTAACTCGATTGGCAATGGATATATTTTCGATCACAGTCTCTACTATTTCATCCGAACAAGCCTTCAGTACGACAGGAAGAATACTTGAGGAACGCCGGAATGCATTGTAAAGGGATATTGTTGAAGCCTTGGTTTGCATTAAGGATTGGGATCGGGCCGATCAACGTCCGCAGGATACAATTTCGTCGGCAAGCCAAGAATGGATTGATGAATTTAATCGATTAACATTTAATTTTGAAGACGATCCTTCAACTTCAAATTAAATTGTAAATTTATAATTTGTAAATATGTATTTACTTTTGACATTGTATTTGTAATTGTATAACTTTGTAAGTTTGTAAAATTTGTAATTCGTCACAAAATGATTGCACTCTTTTTCCTTGCCAAGTTTTTATCCCAATTTGGTTTTTCTTGGTAAGATTTTTAACGAGGTAATCATAAATTACGAATTTAATATACATCATTAATATACATGATTAATTTATTCAATTGTGTTAATAATGTCTGTTGAATGTTGATTTTGATTTTTATATAATTTTAACACAAACTAACTTAATAATTATAAACATTAAAAAATATTACAAAGTATAAGCCAAATATAAGCCCGCGGCCCGTTCAAGGGCATTTTCGGGCTCCGGCAGGCGGCCCAAATTTTTTGGGCGGGTCGGGCTTAGGCTTGGGCAAAAACTCAGTATTTTTGAGCGGTCGCGGGCAGCCCGTCCAAAGTTCTAATACTAATCCGAATACAATCTATTTATCAAACTTGTCAAAAAAAGTCAACCCAAACACCACTAATTTATTAAACGTGTTAATCATATTAATCCCACAATTTATTTAAATTAATATATTAAATACATAATTAATATAATTATAAATTATTTAACATGATGATGACACATTTTAACAAATTTATTGTTTAAATTAAATTTTTCTCCATTATATAGGTTTTATATTATATCATATATAATTAAATTGTAAATGACACATATAACTAATTGTGTATGCTTGTGTCAATCTAAGTTAGACAAATTAAAGAGAACACGACTTGTTTATTAATTGTGTTAATCGGTCAATTTTTTAAAACTCATTTAGTTTACATGTTTAAGTTATTGATTTTGATTTATTGACAGCAATTTTTGAATTCAAATTTCTTGTGAAAAAAACGCTGTAACAAAATTAAAATAATGACATTAATATACTTACTAAATAGGTCCTTATTGACCGAAACCCATTTATAGTAGCTTGTTTCGCATCATGTTACATTTCGAAAATATAGGGACAATTAAAAAGAAAAAATATTTGTTGGTAATCTAAGTCCAAATTATTTATTTAAAAAAAATAATTTGTACTTGTTCCAAAATATTTTGTGGTACAAATTATTTAAGTACAAATTAGTCCTAAATTGTCTTCTTCACGCATAGAACACCAATCAAGCTAACACAAAGCATATTACGTATGGGAAGAGAATGACAAGTTCGAGATGGAGAGTATAAGGACACTGAACCACCACAGCCATACCAAAACAGCGCTCAGAAAAAGCTTCACTCCCGTCATCAATGGCTTCCTCTTTCCGCTAACCTTAACAATCCCGAACAAACCAAAACTATTCTCTTCCCTGCGTCTCTCGGTGGGGTCCTCTTTGTCCGGACAAAACAGTTCCACAGAGCACACGACCCTTCTCGTGGAGACATTCCATGAGCACCGCAAGTTCAAGACTTTGCTCAAGAGGCTAAGCAAGAATGATTCGTGCCCTATGAGATTGCTCAGAGAGGATGGGGATTGGTGTAAAGAGCATTTCTGGGCTGTCGTTAGATTCCTCAGACATGGTTCGAGAACCAAGGAGATTGTTCAGGTGCTTTTCTTGGTTTTTGCGCTCTATCTGTTTGTTTTATGTTCTCTGAGATTCTAATAGTACTAAACTTCACAATTTGGTTATTGGGTTTGGGGTTATATAGATGGTCTTGAATTCCGATGTAAACTTAACTTCATTTGACTAACTAGAAAATGCAGGAAATCGATGTTGAACACAAGACTAGGATAGTAAAGATATTTTTATTAAATTAAAAACACTTGTACATCAAGACCTTATATTGCACTCAAAAAAACAACACTCAAAATATTAAAAAAAAAAAAAAAAAAAAAAAAAACCTGCAAATACTACTGGAACTTTTCTCAAGCACTCTCTCACTACACTATCACACACACCACTCACTAATTATTTTTCTTCAAATTTGCCGTGCCTTGGGTGAAGCCAAAGTGCCTATTTATAGTTGAAATGAGCCATTGAATAAATGACACTTGGAGAGCTTCTAAAATGCTTAGGCAAGTTCCTAGAAGTTTCTCTGCGTGCACAACACGCTTCAAAACTTAATGAAAAAATGGAGAATTTACCATTGAGAGTGCATGAGTATGGACTTTTACTCTTTATTCTTGATGAATACCCTTTTATTAGTGTAATTATTTGACTAAAAAGGTTATGAATCAAGAGTAAGATAAAAATCCTGACTCATGCACTTTCAAGAGGTATTTGTCAAGATTACCCAAACTTAATCACTAACGCTAAGGCTTTATATTGGACTTGGGCTTGAATTGGGCCAGCAACTCTAGGCCGGTATTGATTTTCAATCGAATTATGGTCGTACATTTTTTTTGTTTCCTTTGGTTATTGAGATGTTCCTCGGAAATCGAATTTGGTTATTGGGTTTGGTTTGGAGTTATCTGTTTGTGTTATGTTCTCTGAGATTATAATATTACTGAACTTCACAATTTGGATACTGGATTTGGGGTTGTAGATGATATATCTTGTTTTGAATTCCGTTGGAAACTTAACTTCCATTTGGCTGACTAGAAAAGGCAGGAAATCAAATTATGATATTACCTTTTTTTATGGCACTAGTAAAAGAATGGTATTTCAAGCATTGTACTGGGTTTTGTTGTTTTCTTTTGTGCCATTAAACCATTGTTTTTATGAGCCCTAAAAAAAGGAATTTAGATTGGGAAGTTAAATATAATTAATGTTTAGGAGTCTAAATTGCTAAAGGGCTTAGGGTCTTTACGAAATAATTGATATTCTGCTTTTGCTCAATATCGAGTTGCATGATAATGGTTTGTGAAGTGTTTAAATTTAGTTGAAATTGAAGGGCTTTTTAACTTGTGAACAGGTGTTTGATCTGTGGAAGAATATTGAGAAATCACGAATTAATGAATTGAATTACTGCAAGATAATTAAAATGCTAGGTGAAGAGGGCCTGATGGAAGAAGCAGTGTTGTCATTTGAAGAAATGAAGAGCTGCGGTCTTAGTCCTACTCTTGAGGTCTACAATTCAATGATTCATGGGTTTTCTCAGAAAGGGGATTTTGATGATGCTTTAGTTTACCTTAATGAGATGAGAGAACAGAATGTGGTACCAGAAACTGATACTTATGAAGGGCTTATTGAAGCTTATGCAAAATACGAGATGTATGATGAGATAGGACTGTGCTTAAAGAAGATGAAATTGAATGGCTGCCCACCCGACCACATTACTTATAATTTGCTCATGAGGAAGTTTTCAAAAGGTGGATTGCTCAAAAGAATGGAGAGTGTATACCACACCATGATTTCGAAGAGAATGTATTTGCAATCGTCCACTTTGGTGGCGATGCTTGAGACTTATGCAAGATTTGGGATCTTGGACAAGATGGAGAAATTTTACATGAGAACTTTGAAAACGAAAACCCCTTTAGGTGAGGATTTGATCAGGAAACTGGCTGAGGTATATATTGACAATTACTTGTTCTCCAGATTAGAGACCTTAGGAGTTGACCTGTCTACAACATTTGGTGAGACCGACCTTCTATGGTGTCTGCGTCTTCTTTCGCATGCTTTTCTTTTTAGTCGAAAAGGTATGGATTTCGTTATTCAAGAAATGGAAAGAGCACACATCCCGTGGAATGTTACGTTTGCAAATATTATCTTGTTAACTCACTTGAAGATGAAAGATTTCACGCACTTGAGGATTTCTCTCTCCCAATTAACTCATTCTGTAGAACCGGATATTGTAACTGTTGGAATTCTGTTTGATGCAATTGGTATGGGTTTTGATGGGACTCGGACTCTAGAAACATGGAAAAGGATGGACTTCTTTTACAAAGCCGTGGAAATGAACACCGATCCTGTGGTTATTACCGCATTTGGAAAGGGGAATTTCCTTCAAAATTGTGAGCGGGCATACTCCTCTCTTGAGTCTGAAGTAAGGGAAACAAAGTCATGGACTTACAATAACCTCGTTGATTTGGTTTTTAAACACAAGGGAAGTGATTGCCAACAGGAGTCCAAACCAAGATATAAAAAAGGTATATGCTAGCTTGTTGAGAACTTTTGTATTCAAATTGTCAACACTCTTCCCTGTTCCTGGAAGTGCTACTTCTTTTGTATGAATTACTCATCTGGTCTCATCATGGTTAGATTTAAACTACAAATCATTACGTGCTTCAGGCACCCTTTAGACTGATTTTTCCTGCTGGTATTGTATGTCGAGGAAATCCCGTCTTTGCAACTAACATTTCAATTTGGTTCAGCA